AAAAGCAGAGTATGAATGTCTTAACTCAATAACTAAGAAAATGACATGAAGGTTATGTTAACCAGTTTGATGAGAGTATTTCAAAATGTATATGAAAACAGCACACTGTACCCCATGATTGTATTAATGTACACAGTTATGCTATAAGAAATAAAAAAAAATAAACATTTAAGCAAGCAGTCCTTTTGTGTGGCTCAGTAGTCAAATTGTGCAAAACGGAATATGCAGCGATGAGGCTTCCTCTCACCTCTTTCTTGTGGCCACCCAATTTTCTTGACCAAAGGTAAAACCTGTGTTATCTGTTTCTTGTTATTCTTCCCAGTCATGTATTATGCAATAAAAGCATATGCAAACAATTTTAAAAGAATGGTTTCAGTTTATTTCTGGGAGAAAGTTATTCAATGTTCCAGTATTTTTGCTGATATTTATAATGATTGTGTTTGTATGTGTAACATGGCTCCTTTATTTCTGCAGATTAGTTAAATACAGTAGAAACAATCATTACAAAAGGGTCCCTTTCTTTTCCATAATTTGGGGCTACATGTGATATTTTGATACCTGTATATGTGTATCAAGTGTAATGATCAAATCAGGGTAACTGGAAAATCTGTTATCTCAAATATTACTGTTTTCTTTGGGTGGGAAACGTGATGACTTTTCTCTTCCAGTTGTTTTTCAAATATAGAAGAAATTATTATTAACTATAAGTTCCATACTCTACTTATGTAGTCACTTAAAATTAAAAATACTTGAAAGGGTGGCCACATTTAGCAAATATAAATAAAGGACACACAGTTGAATTTAATTTTCAGATAAACAATGAATTACTTTTTTTTAGAATTGTGCTCCATGCAGTCTTGGAAATATACTAACAATCTTTTCATCACTTATCTATTTTATTTACATTTTACTGAGTTCTTGCATTGTATTTGGCAATTCAGGGGAAAATTGTAACATATTAAGCTATTATAGTTTACTCACTCCTATACGAATGAGAATTTGCAGCAAGGAGACTCACAAAACACAATAGTTGCAGAAAAAGAATATGCAGGCTTCTTTGATGATATGGGGTTTGGAATAGCCATTGCCCTTCAAGCTTCTAGGATTAGTGGGAGAAGGGGTAGTTGTAAGGGAAAAGAAGGTGGTAAAGAAGCTTACAATTCCTAGGACCCTGGTTTCTCTAGGTATTAAAAATGTGCTACCCTCACAATGGACGTCCCTTTTGAGACCAGCCAGGATTTTATCTACCAATGTCCAAGTTCCATTCACACCCATCCATTCCTGCCTAAACCTTAGCTGGCCAGTCTGAGGTCGTGTGCCTGCTGGTTGCTTATCTTCCTTACACTGCCTTGTTCTTGGGAATCCAGTGTCAGCATTGCATATGATTCTCTCTGCATAAGAATGAGTGTAGCAGCTCTTTAAAGGAAACTTGTTTGATTCATGTTTTCATACTCGAAATCATTGTCACGTTATCAGTGTCAAAATGATAGGAAAGAACACTGATGTGCATCTTGTGACAATGGCGGATTGTGAGGAAATTGGTCAAAGGAGATGAGGAATGAGTTTTTTAGAGGACTGCAACAAAATCTCTTGGGACACTCTGCCAGGTAGCACTATGTTTCTACTGATGGGAGAGTATTGGGGAAGGGAAGAGATGTTTAAAAGGGTTGCTCCACACTGTGATCACTCTCCAAAATCGGCTCTGAGTGGGACTTAAAACGTTTCTTTTCTTGCATTTTGACTCAAGAAAGCACAGTTGCATGATAAGGTAGTAGGGGTGATACTGACGGGGAGGGAGGCAGTGGAATGCAAATCCAGAGCCCAGAGTTCTTTTCTTTGCTACCCTTGTCAGTGAGAGTTGTTTCTTAATCCTGTCCAATATCCTCATGATTCCTAGGTTTTGTCCCAACTCTAAACCTGAAGTGTTCAGTAAACGTTTCTATCAATTACCTCTGCAGTGTTTGGTTCCTGAAAGAAGGTGCTTGATTCCATACTATTTTCTTATTGCCATTTGGGACTCTGCACTGTATTACAAAGTGGGGGTGGGAAAGAGTTAGATTTTTCATTTTCCAATTCCTGCTGTATCCTCTGAAATTGGCTCAATTTTCAAGTCCTGATCAAAGTTATAAGAACGATTTTTTTGTTGTTGTTGTTGTTGCAGTTTTTGGCCAGGGCTGGGTTTGAACCCGCCACCTCCAG